GATGAACGGGAGAAGCAGATGGACACAAGAATGCATTTTGTGATGTACTGTAAATATTGTCATTAATAGGGAACAGGTAGAAGTGCTTCTGTCTATCTGTGTGTCTGTATGTATCAGATCTCAAATATCAGAAAACTGCAGAAGGTGCTTAAATATACTAATACTCTAAGTCACCGAAATGTATAAATTTACAGAAATGACAACAATTACCCGTATTGTCTGAGAGGGAAATGTTTTTGCTCCTAATTGATTCATGAAAGCATCTGGGACTGTGGTTCTGCTCACTCTGGTGATGTCAGTGGCCTTTGCTTGTTTGTTTCTGGTCCTGAGTCAACCAGGAGGCTCTACAGGGGCTCATAGCCTCTCTCTTTTCTTTGGGAGTGGGGTGTAGTTGCTTCTTCTGGCTGAAGGGGAGACGTTTGGTGTTGACCTTTTGCTGGACACATGGGTCTAACAGCCTGTATCTAACATTCCCGGCCCAGCAAAGGGGAAAACGTGCTCCCTCGTTGCTGCTTTCAGACATCTGTGACTGCCAAGACAGTTAGAGCACTGCTTTATTTCTAGCAGTGCCCCCAGCCATTTTTATGTCTATGCTCGTAGGAATGCTGTGGAACTGGTCCTGAGCTATCCCTCCGCTCATCAGCAGTTTCCACGGCAAAAGCATTTTTAACTGTTTCACTTCTCAATCATAAAAAAATGTTTTGAATTTGACCCAAGACAGTTTTCCAGACCATGCCAGCACTGGGCAGCCATTCGTATTGACTTTTGACATCTTTTATGTGTCTGCCTCCCTTCCCCTCTGTTTCCCCTTCACTACCCAAACCTGGTGCTTCTGTAGTGACTTGGTTATAGGTGTCCTCCACACCCTCCACACAACACGCAGGCGTTGCAATCATGACCAACAACTCCGTGATCCATCTCCCTCTCCTAGATTTGCAGGGACTAATTCAGCCATCTACACAGAGCTGCCTAATGCCACCGACCCAGGCTGACCCTGTAGGTCTCCAGAAGATCCTGTGCTGTAGCTCCCAACCCCGTGCAGATGTCTCAGATACCCTAGGACTTCTCAGATGACTCAAGATGCCTATGTTTGGACAAATGAGTCAAGCTCCAGCTTTGTCTTTTGTCATTTGCACTTTCCAAGCCATATGAAATGTCAACTCCATTCACAGTTGGCCTGGCTGTTGAATTAGTGACAGTGCAAGTGGAGGCAATACATGGGACAGAGTGCCTATTGCCATGCTGATAAACCAAACAGGCCTCCTTCTAGCCCTGAGGCCAGCTGGTGGAGTGTCCTGTAGCTGAGTAACATTTTCCCCAGAGCTGGGCACATCATTGCATCTCTCCAGAGACCAGCTTTGGCATATGGGCTGTGCACTGTGGCCGTGGTGTTTTACAACCTGTCTCCTCCAGTGCCAGCCGGATGGGGCTGGTGCATGGGCAGGTGATGCTGTGTTTGGGCATCATGTTCACAGGGGTTTCATGGAGATGGAAGAGAGCGTCTTCAGTGTGGTTTGCTGGGGCTGCATTCTTTTGTGTGAGAACATCTGCAAGATGTTGGTTTTGCCAACAAAAACTGAGTTTGTTTTCAAGACAATGTATTTCTACTAGCAGAAGGCTTCTCAGACCTTCCTTTCTCCCCAGTAAAGGAGATGTGGTTGTCTTGTAGGACAACAGTGTGAAGGACTCACTAATTTCTACGTACTCTTTGTTAGAAATCAAAACAGAGGAAGAGTTTCTGCTCAGAGAACATGAGTTCTTGAGTCTTGTGGTATGTGAACTTTTGAGGGATGATGTTGCGTGGGATGTAGGGACTAAGAGGATTTTCCGTGGTCTTTTTGTGAAAGCGATTGGGACTGTCATGCTAAAGGATCAACTGCACTGAGCAACCGCAGGGGAAGAAGGGAGGTGTGGTGGTGCCTGTCCTTTAAAGGCCTTTCAGCTGGGGAGATGTGTCCAGGGGAGATGTGTCCAGGGGAGATGTTTAAGATCTGCCTCCCTCAGGAAATGTGGGTGGTGCAGAGTGTCTCCTACTGTGGAAGTGGGACTCAGTGGAGTTTGGCATCTGATCTGAATTGCAGCTCAAGGCAAACAGCTCAAGGCAATGTGCTCTGAGTTTCTAATTTTGATCAGATGACTCAAACCCTTTCTTTTTAGCAGAGCAAAATGAATGTAATTTTTTGCTTTACTACTGCAGGAAAAGCCAGAAAAGAGTGAAAGCTAATGGTTTGAAAACACTTTCTTATACTTTCTTATTAACCTCTTCCCTTTTCATTTTTGTGGGGATGGAGAGGAAGAGGGAAGGGAGTGCTCTTTTGCCCATGGAAAAGGCAACCTTTAAAATAAAAAGGTTACAAACTAAGCTTTTTTGCCTTCACTTCAACTTTTCAAATTAGCATCCTGGGGCCACTCATGTTCTCTGAGCAGAAACTCTTCCTCTGTTTTGATTTCTAACAAAGAGTACGTAGAAATTAGTGAGTCCTTCACACTGTTGTCCTACAAGACAACCACATCTCCTTTACTGGGGGGAAAGGAAGGTCTGAGAAGCCTTCTGCTGGTAGAAATACATTAAAGGTTGTTCTCGAAAACAGCAGATAGAAAGCTTGAGGGCTTCTTATAGAGTGAATCCATGTCCAGCAGGGCTGATGCTACACCTGAGATGACTCCCTGGAGATAATTTTGGGTATATCTGAACTCTGCAGGGCTTCAGGAAACCTCTAAGGTTTGGGCTCCACACCTGGCAAATGTACTCCTTCTGGGTGAGTGTTTTAAAACAAAAGCAGAAACAAAACCTGCTGAGGTGTGTGAAGAATGCGCACTTGGCACTTGGCACGAGGTAAGATGTGCCTCTGGGCCTGGGCTGGTGACAGAAACAAACAATTCAGGTTCTGCTCTGTAAATGCTGGAACTATTTTGTGTTTAGGTTATCTGCTGTGGTGGGTTGACCTTGGCCAGCTGCCAGACCCTACCCAGCCGCTCCTTCACTCTCGCTCCTCAACAGGACAGGGGGGGAAAATAAGATGGAAAAGCTCATGGGTCGAGATAAAGACAAGGAGATCACTCACCAGTTACTGTCACAGGCAAAACAGACTTGACTTGGGGAAAATCAATTTAATTTATTGCCAATTGAAAATAGAGTAGGATGACGAGGAACAAAGACAAAGCTAAAACACCTTACCTCCACCCCTCCTTCTTCCCAGGCTCAACTTCACTCCTTCATTCCCAACTTTTCTACCTCCTCCTCCTGAGTGGCGCAGGGGGACAGGGAATGGGGGTTGCGGTCAGTTCATAACTGTGCTGGTTTTGGCTGGCATAGAGTTGAATTTCTTCATAGTAGCTTTTAAGGTGCTATGTTTTGGATTTGTGCTGGAAACAGTGTTGATAACACAGGGATGTTTTTGCTATTGCTGAGCAGTGCTGACACAGAGTCAAGGCCTTTTCTGCTCCTCACCCCACCCCACCAGTGAGCAGGCTGGGGGTGCACAAGAAGTTGGGAAGGGGACACAGCCGGGACAGCTGACCCCAACTGACC